ACCGTTTCAATGAATCACAATTTACAATACTTAGGTATGTTCGACCTTAAAAGACTTAATTCTTTTTATTTTACATAATAGCAATACTATATGGAGTTTTGCTTTACCGTAAAGGCTCAGCCGCTACATCGCATAAGTTATGATCTCATTTCACCTTATTCTGTTTTCCCTAACTCAGCGATTCCGTCATTTCCGTGCTCTCTCAAAGCAGTTATGGCAGTCTATATATTTCAATTTATCGCTTCTCTCCTTATTGGCGAGAACCAAAGCTATCATATGCACCATCATTTTTCATCTCCATTTTCCTCTCATCTCCTATTTATTCTCCATATTTAGTCAGCTATGAAATGGTAACAATTCACCATCTCTCTGATTTGCTTGGTTTACTCCAGTTTCCTTTTTTTGGTAAACAGTTACTCCAACTTCCTTTCCCTTTATGAATTGCTTATGGGTCCATTACACTTGATTTTGAATGATAATATTTTAGCATCCAATTAGGAAGGGGTTTTCCTCATGGATATCGATTGAAATTTAAAAATATAAAATGTTTGCTTGCAAAGTTAAGATGTTCTATTGCTATTTGCTATGACTTGGGGATTAAAATCCAAAAGTAAGCTAGATTAATGACATTAATTCTTAATGATAAGAAAAGAATTCAGACACACTAAGAAGTACTCAACCATATATTAGCTTGAGAATTATGCAGAAAAGTTTACAGAGTTTTGGGAAGAAGAAGAAGATGTATTTTGAATTATCTCCAACTATTTTTCAACCAACTATTTAAAGAAAATGGAATTACAACCAATTTCCGTTTAACAATTAACAGATCCATTAGCTATCATAAGTGCTGAGTCATAATCCCACGTGGCCAAATACAATTCACTCAGCTGTGAATTCATTGCATTGCACCCCTAATTTGAAGCTTGTCGTCAAGCTAGGATTTCAATCCAAGGGAAACTCAGACCATTGGATCATTGAATAAACTGTTGCACTTTTTCTTCTTTCGCAATCTTCCTGTTCAAAATAACTGCTGCTTCAATCCTTAGTTGTTAAGAGCCATCCACTGCAGCCTGCAGGAATAGAACTTATTAGAGCATCCTCAATGAGACCATGAATTGGGTAAAAATGGATTGCCACGTCAAATAAATACACACTCATATTAATTAGTTGCTCCAGCGGTAACGTGTAAACAAAATGGGCTGCTGACTTGGAGCGCATTAAATCGCACACTGTGGACTCCTCTTTCGATTCTCAGAAGGCCTTTTCCACGATCTGAGTCATCAAAAAAGGTTTCCAATCTAATTTTTTAAGTTGGCTCACCAAACTCAGCCGACATATAAACTACTCCGTATACGAAATTAAACTAACACACTACATACGTATTCTTCTTCGGCAAGGAAGCAGAAGATTTTGACAGAGCGTCTCCAACAACACACATCACCGGAGCAGCAAGTATGAAGTCACCAGAGTCGTCGCCGGACTATTTTCAGTGTTTCACACCGGAACCACAAAAGGAGATTAACGTTAATATGTGACGTCGGAAGGAGAGGAGAAACGGGTAATCACCGCACCGAACTACAGATCTTCAGGAGATGGGCTGTCTCTACGTCGGAAACTGTAGAGAACAACCAGACTACTCTCTGAAAAGAGTGAATTGCCGGACTGCATCACCGTACTCTCCTGACTCCATACGGCCGGGTCTTATCGTTTCTCGCCAGCGAAACTCGGAGACGACAAGCCGCTGAAGTTGGTGCTTTTTTCAGGTATGCCAGCCGTTGAAGGTGATAAAGAAAGCTAGAAGAAAGGTTTAGAACGTCGAATTGAGATGGGCGTTTGAGGATGAGAGGGGGGAGGTTCGCACTTCCGCAGTCCCAGAATGAGAACATATATGTGCGGTGCAGATAGCCTGGGTCAACACACGCTACATTAAGGTTTGAGATCTTGAACCATTGAACCAAGAACACCGGCCAGGGACACCAGAGCGAGTGTTTTTACATAAATGAGTGCTTGCGGCTGTTTTCTAGTAATGGCTAATTTTTTGCATTCACAATTGCATTGGAGCGAACCATTTAATTTAAGCGTCTATCTATCCACCTCAGCTTCACGGACCTTTTACTCACGTGACGTGTCCATTTTTTAGGAGATACAATCCACTTTGCCACTAAAGATGCTCTTATAGGTAACGGTCCATGACGCTTCCTCAATTGTGAAATTCGGAACACAGGATGGATCTTAGATTGGTTAGGTAATAATTAGAGGATAGTTTCTAGATTGTATGCTAACATTCCAATCTTATTTAGAATTTCAAATGGACCAAAGAACAAAGAGCTTAGGTGATAGTTTTTTATTCGATATGTAGGCGACAGTGTTGTCTATATGGTTGAAGTTTGACATACACTAAATCACCGATCTGAAATTCTTTGTCCGTCCTATGCTTATTGACAAAAAAGTAGAACACTACATGTCGAATTGACATGAAACTCATGACTAAAAATGAAATCATGATATTAAAATGTATACACACAGAAGAGAACAAGTGACAAATATGAAAAGGGTAGAAAAAATTGAAAATAGGAAGTTAAGATTTTTATTGATGGACTTTCTAATATCTAATAATATACTCCCTCCGTCCCTTAAAACTTTGCGATCTTTCATTTTTGTGACGTTCCAAAATTTTTTGTCACTTTTCCTTTTAATCAATTATTTTGTGGTTTCTATTATTTCTCTCTTCTCTGCACAAACCTCAAACACACATTTTTTACTTTATTAGTCTCCGTGACGGTCAACTTGTGCAAAGTATTTATAATGTTAATGTCAACATTCGAAACCGGAATGTGTTTCAAACATAAGGGAGTAAAACCAGTTCGTATACCGTGGGAGCAGCCCACGGTGAGCATGCTGCTCCCACAGAAAAAAAACGTGTTACTGTTCACGCGCGTGAACAGTAACTTCATTTTTTTTCATTGTCCCAGTAGCGGAATAGGTGTAACTCGCGTGTAACAAAATGTAACTCACGCTAATAAGAAATGTAACAACAAGCAAGTTGAAATGTAACTTGTCTAATACGAATTATAAGAAATAAAACATTGATTTTAATGAAAACAAGGAGTCTAATTGCTCAATTACTTTATTTAAGTAGTTTATATGTTTTGTTTTAGTATTAAGGACATAAAAATGTTTTTTTATCTTTTTTTGCCAAAAAATCATTTTTTGGCCAAAAACTCATTTTGATTTTGTAAAAAACAAGTGAATTTTTTTATTTAATAGCAAGGGTTAACATAAATGGTGAATATATATTTTTTAATATTAAGTCCATAAAATTATTTTCAAAATATATTTTTTGCCAAAACACATATTTTTTTGGAAACATTTATTTTTTTGCATAACAATGATTCTTTTGTTTCAATGGTAGGCTTTATGTTGTGATGTAATTCGTATTACAGAAAATGTAACTCGCGTTGATTGAAAATCTAACTTTAGTGTATGCAAATTAAAATGTATCTTGTTAAGGAAAACTCAAATGTAATTCGCGTATAAAAAGATGTAACTCACGCACAAGAAGATGTAAATCGTGCATAAGAAGATGTAACTCCATATAATATCAAATTTAATTATAGAAATTGTCTATAAATATAACTCACACATACGAAAAATGTATTATTCTCATGTTTTTTCAAATTTAAATTGAAATAAACAGCCTTAATGTCTATAAAACACAAAAAACATACTCCCTCCGGTTCCTATTAAAGTTCTCAGTTTGACTTCACACAGATTAAGAAAATAAATTTGACTTTACTGTGGAGTGCACTGTTTGGCACTGTTTGGACACTGTTTGGCACTGTTTGGACACTATTTGACACTGTTTTGTTTCCTACAATGGAAGTGTGAACTTAAATAAGGGACATCCCAAAAAGGAAAATGAGAACTTTAATAGGAACCGGAGGGAGTATAAAAGAGATGAGAAATATATTATAGAAAAAAGTACATGAATGTAAAAAATATTTTACAAAAAAAGTGTATAATAAACATTAAAAACGTATACAAAGTAAGAAATAGTGTATGAATATGACATACAATATACTTATTTTATGTGAATAAATAAAATTTTGAATTAAATTGGTAAAGAAAAAAATTAATTCAGTTAGAATTTAATTAGTTCAAGATAAAGTTAAGTAAAATATCACAAATAATTAGTTGTAACTCGCGCATAAAAGTATGTAACTCGCGCATAAGAAGATGTAACTCACGCATAACAAGATGCAACTCACACATAATAACATGTAACTTGAGTATAAGATGATGTAACTTCGTATATTATCAAATGTAACTCAAGCTAGAATCAAAATAAACAAATTCAATAAAAAATATTGAATGTATGCATATAAAAATAAATTACAAAAAAATATATGAATATAAAAGATATTACAAAAAATAGTGTATGAATATGAAATGCAATGTACTTATCTTATTTAGATTATTAAACTTTTTGTTATGTATTGATAAAGAATAAAAAAATAGATTCAATTATAATTTAAATTGAAGATAAGAAAAATTAAAACTGCAATTAAATTTTTAACATTTTAATTTGATGAAAATTGAGAAGAATTGAAGAAAAGAAAAATAAATAAAGAATAGCAAAAAAAGGGAAGGAAGAAGCTCTAGGAAGAAAAGAAAACAACGTAACTTGACAAAAGTGGGATCGACACACCATGCGGAAGGTGGGCCGATCCCACGGTATAATTTGCCGAGTAAAACATACGGCCTCTCCCTGTGAAGTACTCCGTATCGCAATGATAAATAGGAAGTTAAGATTAAAAAGTAAAATAAAACTTAGTCATTAATAGAAACAACTTGTCCATAAATTTGTCCATAATTCCAAAAAGGAACGTATTAAAACGAATACGGAAGTAAAATTCATATGGAATGGAAATACTATGATTAAATTTTAAAGCTTTCGGCGGTATAATTATTGAGCACGATTTAGGTAACAGCCAAGAGGTCTGAGTTTGATTTTGATCAAAGGGGCGGCTAGTTTGGAAGTAACCATGCTTCTTCCTATTCTTTCCCAAACAGATAGTCCATTTTCTCCAGCTCACCCAAACAGTCCCCCCAACCAACAAACGATCAAGAATGAGAAGCGCCGGCAAACAACATTTTTACACACTCCGTCGCTTCCTAATTTTCCAGTTTATCATTATCCGTAATATTTCGGTAGCTCTAGCCGTCGACACCATAACGCCGGCGCAACCACTCGCCGGTAACCAAACCTTAGTTTCCTCTGGCGGGCTATTCGAATTAGGATTCTTCACCCCCCGTGGCTCCGATAAAATCTACGTCGGGATATGGTACAAGCAAATCAAAGACAAGACCGTCGTCTGGGTCGCAAACAGAGACGGCCCTCTCTTCAATTCCGGCGGAATCTTGAAAATCGACGACGACGGAAACATCTACCTACTCGACAACTCCGGGAATTCCACATGGTCAACGGCAAGTCAATTGGGGCGGAAGAACACGGTCGCGCAGCTGCTCGATTCCGGGAATTTCGTTCTCCGGCAAGAACACGACGAGAAGAATTATTTATGGCAGAGCTTCGACTACCCGACGGACACTCTGCTACCGGGTATGAAGCTGGGCTGGGATTCAAGATCCGGGTTGAACCGTTTCATCACATCATGGAAAAGCTCCGACGATCCGTCGGAGGGGGCGTACACCTTCAAGGTAGACCTCAATGGCTTGCCGGAGTGTTTCTTAAGAGACAGAGACGCCGTCGATTACCGAAGCGGGCCGTGGAACGGCCTGCGATTCAGCGGCGTCCCAGAAATGATGCCCACCAAACTCATAACATTTTCATTTGAGATAACAGAGGATTCCGAATACTACATATTCGAGCTTCACAACAGAACTCTGTATTCAAGATTAATGGTGACCCACGAAGGCGCTCTGGAGAGGTACGCGTGGATTCCGACGACCAAGATTTGGAACAAATTCTGGTACGCCCCGAAAGACCAGTGCGACAACTACCGGGTCTGCGGCGCGTTCGGGATATGCAATATAACCATGTCGCCGCTGTGTCAATGTCCGCCCGGGTTCCGGCCGCGAAACCAACAGGCGTGGGATCTCCGGGACGGCTCCGACGGCTGTTACCGGCACGATGAGCTGGATTGCGAGAAAGACGGATTTTTGACATTCAATTATATGAAGCTGCCTGACACGTCGAGGACCTTCGTGGACAGGACGATGGGTTTAAATGAATGCAGGGAAATGTGCAAGAAGAATTGTTCCTGCACGGCTTATACGACCGCGAATGTGTCCGACGGCGGCTCTGGATGTGTCATTTGGACGACGGAGCTTATTGACATGCGGCAGTACGCGGCGGTTCAAGGCGGCCAGGTACTGTACATCCGTTCGGCTGCCTCCGATGTAGGTACGCCTTAATTTACTAAATACGCTGAATATTAGACCGTATAACTATCATGTGTACTAAAAATTTACTAAAAATTCCATAATAGAACTATCATGTGTTTATTATTAAAATAGGACTAATTATTGTTATATTTTGACAGTATCAGACTTTAATTATGACAATATTTTCCAAACTTGACAGTAATTACTCCTAATTTGGGAATAAAAACATTACAGTCCTATTTTGGAATTTTCAAACTTTTTTACTCCTATTTTGAGAATTTTCTTTTTAAAATATTCTCATTACTATTTTTTTATTAATTCTGTATTAACCTATTTTTTATTAACCTATTTTTCTTAATAACTGCAGTACTTACTCGTGTCTCAATGTTAATGGGATGAAGGGTAGTATTACGTAATAATTTCTACACAATCACTACCACTAAGGGAGTGTTTGCGATTGCTAATACTTCACAAAAATTTATCTTTGAAGAATTTTGGAAAAAGTATTATTTAATATTAAAAGTTTAGTGTTTGAGAAAAAAACATCTGAAAAAGTAAATATTGACACTGTTTGGTAAAAAAAGTGATTTTTGTGTAATAGAAAATTTGAAAAGCTATTTATGGCACCAATCCACTTGCTTCCATCTTCTAGTTTTTACTCCGTAAGTGATTAATACAAGCATATTTATCGAGCTTATCGAGCGCTCGATTCGAACATCGAATGCCTATCAAGCCGAACACAAGCCTAATTTGTAAAGCTCGTCGAGCTCGAGCTCAAACCCAAACACCACTAATTCCTTATCGAGCCGAACTCAAATTTTGGGTGTTCAGGCTCAGCTCGGCTTGTTAACAGTCCTAATCTCTACACAATCAATTATGATATAGTGCCCCTTTAGACTTATTAGACTAGGTCAAGTTTGTGTAAATTAAAAAAGAAATAGTCAAGACATGCATTTAAAATCTCGAAAAGAAATAAATAATTGCAATTATAAACTTATTACTTTTAAATGTTAAATGATAATGTCTGTTAGTTTAAAAGGAGTAAGATTTATTTATTTAGATGACACCATCTTATATACTCCAAATGTTCTGCTACCTCCGCCCCCTTAATATTGAGACAGAATGGAGTGGTGTGATTTTTAAGAAAAATAGAATTATGTGGTTGATTAAGAGTTGTTTTTTCTTTTTAGGTTTAAAAAGATAGAGAGTGAGGTTCTGTCCCCGGTACTTGCAGATGTCCTAAAAAGCGATTTAACATCCTCTATATTACAAAGCTATGCTTGACCTAAAAATTGCGTTTTAAACAAAAAACACAATTCGACACTTTTTAACGTTTCAACAAGTGAAAGCGCTCATTCATGTTGTTTGGTAAATGGATGTTCAACCCTAACTGTTTTGAATGCTGAAACAGAAAAGCTGCAAATAGTAACATTTTGAGATTAACGTTTTGAAATAGGACGTTACACAATGTTTAAATAACTAATTAACTAAACACCTTTTTGTAATCCGTCATCTCATTCTAAAATTAGTTGAACTCCTTGATTGAATTTGCTTTTAAAAATTTATTAAAACCAATTGTCAAATGCTAATTGCCAAACACATCCATAACAATATGATGTACACCGTAGTGTGTTGTTATAATTAGAAAAGGTTGGGGGCCACCATGTCCCGAGTTGTAGAGTTAGGAATAAATCAAGAAAGGCATAGAGTTCATAGATTATTTCTCCACCATCAATCTTCTTCTTTTCCCTTTCATTCTGTCAAAGTCACCCACTTAACGTAGATTTGAATTTACTTGCATTCGATTTTGGGGCTAATTTAATAAATGTTTGTCATTCTTTTGCTATGGCTCACTTAATTTAGTTTTCCTTTTTATGTGACACAAAATACAAATTAAATTATATCATTAACCAGGCTAGTGTTCTTTTCTTACTAGAATTTTTTGCAGATCTTTTCTAAGTAGATTTGAACTTAATTAAATACGTAGTACCCCTACGAAAAAATTACGGGATCGACACGAAATCTGGCACGGATTTACCAAATTTTCGTGCCAAATAGCTCAAGCCAAAGTGTTTTTGGCACAGATTTGTCATATCCATGCCAAAATCCCTGCCAAAATCCCTGTCAATCCCATGTTTTTTTTGTAGTGTACGGAGTATGTTTTAAGTCTTTTAATTTTTTTTGTCGCCCGTAATTTACACTATTTGTATTAACCATTTAAGAGTTTTCTGTGTTTTCTGTCTTGCTTTTTTAATTACTTCATTTCATATTTTAAGAAATGCTTAAATTGTATATACTCCATATACCCCATATAAAAACATGAAAGATTAGTATTGTTGATCCAAAATAGGACGCTCGTAGGCTTTTAGGAAAGCTACGTACGACACTCAAGCAGGAATTAGGAATGCAAGAACGAGAATGGAAAGTAGCTAGGAGATTTAGTTTCCAGAAATAGCATCTAGAATTTGTCTCCTAATCTGAATTACAACCTGCCTTTTATAGGCGTATACAAATCGTAACCGTTACCGATAATAATGACTAATTAATTACAACATTAATACGGAATTAAATACATAATTAATAGCGCATTAATTGTTTGACCGTTACTCTTTCGGGCTAGGAGGTCGGCCGGACTGGCAGGCTCCATGCCGGGCTGGCAGACAGGCTCCAGGTTATGAACTTGGATCCATGGGTCCAAGTTCGGGGCTTGGGCTGATTAGGCTCTGGACCTAGTCCCATTACTCCATCACGAGTCCTCCACTCCCTTAGTCGAGTAGTAGACTCGGCTAAGAGGGAGTAGTCCAAGTCAGTTGCTCTTCTCCGAGACTAGAAAATCCCCGCCCTTATCCATGTTGGGGAGATGCCTCATTAAAAACCTTCATTAGGAAAAAACCCAATGGGAAAAAATCCTAATGAAGGGAAAAAGAGTACATCTGACGCTCCCAAGATGAAGCAAGAGGTGAGATCCTCAGCCTTTTTTATTGCAATGATCGCCATCTGCCAATAGGACGGCTAAAACTATTCTTCTCGTCGGACTCAGACTCGTCAGGTTTGTCATTTGCTTCCTTGAAGACGGTATGACCCTCAGTCCCCCACTTCATCCAGTTAAACCTACACATAAAACAGACTAGTGTAGAATAGAGCATCTGGCCTGGTGTCGAACCACAGCTCGGTGTGTAAGTGAGTCGGACTCACTATTTGAAAAGAATGACATCAAGTTCCCAAGTTAGGCCTCAACCCATTCTCCGAAAGAAAGATTGAATCCGCGAGTAAGTGAGTCGGACTCCTCACTCGAATGGATAATCTAACCCCAAAGAACTAAAGTATATCAACCTTTTCGAGAAATGTGAATGTCACTTAAGTGAAAAAATTGCTCGGAAGAGCGTGGCTCTAGGCCCCTAATAAGAGTTTAACTCGCCGCTCGAGGTTAGTAGTTCGAACCCGCAAGTAAAAACTTTTGAACGGGTGACTCGTCCCTCGAGGTCGGAGTGTGATGCACTTGGAAAGGGTAAGAGCACGCAAGAACTCGTATGAAGTCAAGAGTGTGCGGTATTAACATTTATATTGGAGCTTATTAATCGCCACACCCATATGACGTGACCCGGTGGCGCGAGTGTGTGTGCTCGGCCAGTGTACGAGTGTGTGTGCTCGCCCGGTGTACGTGGGTGATCAGATTTCATAAGCCCGTTTTTCAATGTTAAAATTACACACGCTTAACAAGAGTAAAAGCAATTAAACCACTTAAAATATATTTTCAAATGTTTGAATTTATGATTTTTTTGTATCAAATATAGAGGATTTTTGGAAACTTAGCTTTAGAGCCAAACGGACCCGAATGCGTTGCTGAAAAATCAGCCCATCATCCTTGAGGAGAATCAAATTTGGTCTTAGTGTAATCTTGGTCCATCCACTTTAACGCAGAGCAGACTCTTGCTCCACAGGAATTAGGTGGGCGCACATTTGAAGGCCTATCTCATGAATAGGCATGGCGATGAGGGAGACCAACAACGACGTCGGCGCACGACATCCAACTGTGATTGACGAAGAGAACAGGAGGAAGTGGGACTGTAGCACCTTGGATTGGGATGAATTTCTTGAATTTTTTCCTTCTAAAGTGATGTGAGAGATCAATAGAGGCTCTCAATGAAAGCACCAATGTTGGTCCAAAATAGGACGCTCGTAGACTTTTAGGAAAGCTACGTACGACACTCAAGCAGGAATTAGGAATGCAAGAACGAGAATGGAAAGTAGCTAGGAGATTTAGTTTCCAGAAATAGCATCTAGAATTTGTCTCCTAATCTGAATTACAACCTGCCTTTTATAGACGTATACAAATCGTAACTGTTACCGATAATAATGACTAATTAATTACAACATTAATACGGAATTAAATACATAATTAATAGCGCATTAATTGTTCGACCGTTACTCTTCCGGGCTAGGAGGTCGGCCGGACTGGCAGACTCTCTGCCGGGCTGGCAGGTAGGCTCCAGGTTATGAACTTGAATCCATGGGTCCAAGTTCGGGGCTTGGGCTGATTAGGTTCTGGGCCTAGTCCCATTACTCCATCAAGTATCTTACCTTATCTCCACCACCAACCTCTAAAACATTATTATACTTCTTCTACTAGTATCATATTTGTGTGAAGTTATGAAAGTTTTTTTTTTCAAAATGAAAATTGTGACAAACATGGCATGCAATATTGCAATAAAGAGAAGCATATAATTAGCATTATCTAAACTAAAATAATAAAATATACGGAGTACGTGGTAACATATATGCTCTGTCAGAAAACCATTTTAGCCAAATAATGATTAAGTAATTCTGCGATCGATCTTTAAAAACTAGAGATCAAAGGGAGGAAAACCATTGTTCACCAGCCTAACTCTAGTACGTAGTAAAAAGCATAATTTTACGGTGGTATGGTGAAAATGCTAATTCTTGTGTGGATAATGCAAAATGCTAGACTTTTAATTTATTGCAATGTAGTTTCATAATTTTGAAGGGTGGTTGGTTGTATTGTGACGACAGAAAGGTTATTTTACTCATAAAAAGTTTTATAGCGTTTTAAATAAATGATCTGTACTGTTATTTTTTCAAAAAAAAATGAATCTTATAATCAATGCACCATAACAATTTCATCTAATTTGGATCATATCGTGTATCTCAATTCAATACTGATTGTGACTTTCAACTTGATTAAATTTGGGCACCCAACCACAAGGGGCTACAAATTGGGTACAAATCAACGGGGCTTGCGAAAAGTCTTACTCCCTACAAAATTTGACTAAAGTTGACTTTCACGTAGATTAATAAAGTAAACACTGTGTGATTGAAATTTGTGGAGAAAAGAGTGTAATAACTTTAGCCACATATTTTTTATTTTAAATGAAAATAATAAAGTTTTTGGGAAAACAAAAAAGAATTTGGCCAAGTTTTATACTCCCTCCGATTCCAAAACAAATTCACTCTTTCCTTTTTGGGTAGGTCCAAAATAAACTTCATACTTCTTCTCTCTTCCTTATTTGGCAAATTGTCTACATCAAAATAGTGCAAAATAGTGTCAAACAATGTCACAACAGTGTATTCTATCATAAAGTCAAATTTATTTCGATTTGTATGAAGTCAAATTTGTAGGTGGTGTTGTACATACGTAGTATTAACAAATTGGACTATTCTTCTTTGGACTTTAGATTCTCATCGATCAGATTAGACACGCTAGCTATTACTCCGTACAATTTACACCGATAGCTGGTTGTCCTTCTTTTTTCAATGCCGAAATGCTGTTTTGGTGAGTTTTTATTTTATTCAGGTGTTTAGATTTGATTCTTAAAATTTCTTCTGCTCCTTCAGGGAGCAGAATCAGAGGTTGGAGTGTTTGGATGAAAGTGAAGAAGTGATTCTGATGTTCTAATTTACTTCAAGAATCAGTTTTTTTAGAAGCTGGGGGTGACCAGCTTCTGGAAACTGATTTTGATTCTGCTTCTGCTTTAAAAAAGAAGCAGAAGCAGAATCAGTTCCAAACACCCCCTCAATACTAAAATGGAACAGATTAACTACAAAAAGTATTTGACACTAGATAATACTATTCCGTTGTTAATAATTGCAACATTAGAAATTTTACACTATTCACATGCCTTACTTTGATTATATTTTATTTTCAAAAACATCGAAAAACTATTTTTTAAAGCATATAATTGAATTCTTCTAACTTTAAATTTCAAAATGTGATTCTTTTTTGAAATTTTTACAATTAGGGAATTAAATATATATTAAAGATCAAAGTTGTGTTTTGACAAACATGAAAATGGAAGTGTTGCAACTAATAAAGAACAATGGAAGTATAATATATATATACACACCTGCATCACTATTTATATTATGACTATATATACCTAATATACGTTACCTGTTTATTTCTATTCTGATTTTACATAATTTTTAGAATAAGATTGAAATTGTTTACTTGAATTTAGTTAGATAAAATAACAAATGCCAAGGTATGGACAGCACTCACCAGAGTCTTTTTTTATAAAAGAAAATAAGAGATCTCCTTGTCCTTTTTTAGAATAAGATTGAAATTGTTTACTTGAATTTAGCCTTTTTTTTTATATACAAATGCATGAGCTAATATATAGTTCTAGCTACTCATTCCTATACGCCCTTCGATCCTAATCATACTCTCTCCAACCTTTTGTAAATTTTCACTTGTTAATTGTTCAAAAAAGTTTATCACTTTTTTTTTTGTAAAAAAAAAATTCAATCACGAATTTTTTGTTTAAATTTTTTTCACACACAACTCAAACTCTGCAATACAATGTGCAATGAGACGATGGTTGGATTACATAATATAGATTTCAGAAGAGGTTAATAGAACATAATATGACTAGTAAATGGTACAAAAAAAGTAAGAAAGCAGATAAAAAACATTAGAAAAATACAAAAAGGTGATGAAGCGAATGTAAATAATGAAGTAAAACTTACCAAAAGGAAACAAATAACAACTAATACGTAGTATAATGCAACTATTATGGCTTGTAGTTTGTATATAGAATCTCATTAGGATTTAGTTTTACTATATCCTTGAAACTTGCTATTTCTAGACTAGATTAAGACACAAGTTCAAATCATTAACAACTCTGTTGTTTTATGTATGATTTCAGAACAAGGTGGAGGAGATGGATCTGGGGGTTCTTCTGCCAAGACAAAACAAATAGTTTTAGCATGTGGCCTTGCAGTTGCTGCTGCTCTTGTTCTGTGTGCAGTAATCTCAATGCTGCTATTGCGCTCGAGAAGGAAACGAAAATTATCACGTAGAGTTGTTACACTAAGAAATGCAGACCTTAGAAGTAAGATTTTTTTGTTTGTACACGTCATTTTACACATTTTTATATACGTCCACCTCTATTTGTCTGTGCACACGGGGAATTCGTTAAAAACACAACTTTTAAGAAAATTGTCTTAGTAAAGTTAATTTAAACATGGAAGATTGAAAACGTGTACACAACAAAGTGCGACTGTAGAAGTAAATATGATGAAAGATTGTTATAAGTAATCTGAACTTCATCCATTTTAGTAGTCAACTAGACCACATTCATCTTTTCTTTGTTACAAATGCAGGTTCACGTGACAGAAGTCAAGATCTTCTTGTGAACACCGGTATGATCCCAAGTAGAGGAGAGTATTCGGGGGAGACTATGATGACAGATGATTTTGAATTACCATTGTTCGACTTTAGCTCCATTGTTATGGCTACTGACAACTTCGCCGATGCAAATAAGTTAGGTCAAGGTGGTTTTGGTTGCGTCTACAAGGTAAAATTAATACCTTATTATGACTACTTGTGAATGAATCTCTTAATCAGGTTAGTGAGTTGATAATCACTCGGCAGTCAGCAGTTAAGTTAATCATACCATATACCTTATTTCCCGTTGAAAGGTTCTCACTTTTCTTATTTGAGTTATTATTATGTTAGCCCGCAGTTATATGTAGAGGTGATATTTGTTGATAAGGTGGTTGTTATATATTAAGCATTTTATATGACGTAAGATTTTTTGATAATATCAGGCAGTGATGGATGAAGGTCTTGAAATAGCAGTGAAGAGACTATCAAGGAATTCAGGTCAAGGAGTGGAAGAATTTATGAATGAACTTAGATTGATTGCAAGGCTCCAACATAGAAATCTTGTTCAAGTTCTTGGATGTTGTGTTGATATGGAAGAGAAAATACTAATATATGAATACATGGAAAACAAGAGCTTGGATTCAACTTTATTTAGTAAGCCCGCCGATCCTCCTTGTTTATTTGTTACATGAAATCATTATCGTTGATTTTGTCATACCTAATATTTTGTATACAGACAAGCAAAAAAGCTCAATGCTAACCTGGAAAACACGGTTCAACATCATAAGTGGAGTAGCTCGCGGGCTTCTATACCTTCACCAAGATTCAAGATTTAGAATAATCCATAGAGACCTTAAAGCTAGCAACATTCTTCTCGATAAAGAAATGAACCCCAAAATATCTGATTTCGGGATGGCAAGAATTTTCGGCGGAGATGAGGGTGAAACAAGTAATACTAAGAGAGTAGTAGGAACATAGTAAGAAACCCAAATCTCATCTCTCCTTATATTGCTTCATTTAGTAACCTACTTTTATCACCATTGTTTGTTGGCATGATTATTTTCCAATTGAACCTATATATGCAGCGGTTATATGTCTCCTGAGTATGCAATGGATGGGCTATTCTCGGTCAAATCTGATGTTTTCAGCTATGGAGTTCTCGTGTTAGAAATTGTGACAGGGCAGAAAAACCGAGGGTTTTACAATCAAAACAATGAGGAAAACCTTCTTGGACATGTAAGTGAAAAATTAGATGATTAAATAGTTCATTAAAGTATGATAAGGTGTCATTAAAATAGTTCAATTACCATGACATTGTTGGTATAAAACCATTCACAAATGCGAATATTAAATCTTTGGTTGGGCATTTTAGTTCGATTCAGCCGAACAAAACCGAAACCGAATCATGTGCAATTGCATTTGGATTTGGCTACACTTTTCAAACGGTCTAGAACTAAATAAAAAACTTAACCGAACTAAAAAATCAATAACACATTCAAATATCTTTTCTAATTCAAACCAAACCAAAATGAAACATATGATTCGGTAACCATGATCTCAATCCATTTCAAACCCGATCGAGAACTTAAAAAACTAAGCCAAACCTGAAAGGCCCTTCCCCTAATTAGTAATTATATCACCACACGATATGATTGCAAAAATACTACTACCTCCGTTCCTATTAAAACTTCCAAATAGGTTTGACACAGAGTTTAAGATAGTGGGTATTGTGTGGTGGAGAGTTGTGCAGAGGAGAGAGAAATGTGTAAGAAATGTTGTGAACCACAAATTCTTTACTAAAAAGGGAAAGTGGAAGTTTTAATTGGAACGGACGAAAAAAGAAAGTTGGAAGTTTATTTAGGAACGGAGGGAGTAGTTGCTAAAATCATGCCTTTTGAATTTACATAATTGGAGCCAATGTTACTTGCAGTGTTCAAAGCTATGGAGAGAAGGAAGATGGTCAGAGTTAGTGGATCCAATCATAGGAGAGTCTTACTCTCAAAGTGAAGTGATGAGATGCATTCAAGTTGGATTGTTGAGTGTGCAAGAGATGGCAGAAGACAGGCCAAATATGGCAAATGTGGTGTTAATGTTGGGCAGTGAAAGCGCGACACTTCCCGAACCTAAAAATCCGGGGTTTTGTATGGGACAAAGACCTACAAATATGGAATCATCTACTAGTAATAATTATGAGGAGAGTTGTACTGTAAATCAAGTCACAGTTACTATCCTAGATGGCCGCTAACCCTGTTAGAAATAATTCAAGGAAGGTTTGGTAAATTGGGAGGCTAAATTAGAAATAATATGGAACATATATTTGAACAAATGGGAAGACTCTTCTTATGAGAACAACTCAAATTAGTTTGATTTACTATATACAAAGCGGTGTAGGAAAGCTCTTTTTATACTAGTACAAGAGTATCTATATTCTTCTACAATTAATTCATTCTGCACAATTTTACACGATTAATTATAGAATTTTTTAAAAGATCGCATCTTCTAGAGAAGCTCTAGAATTTCTCTTTTACATTTTCTACTACTTGGTCCCTTTACAACAACAACTAAAATACATATCAATTAGGCCCAAAAATAAGTTTTATTTTCAACATCTCCCCTTAAACTCGTTTTTGTAACTTCAAGCACTATACTCAATCTTCGAAATCTTCGTGCTTGATCAGCTTGGTAAAAATGTGGGCAACTTTGTCATGTGACCTTATGTACATTACCTCAACCTCCTTTCTTTCAATGCATTCCCAAATGTAGTGATAACACGTATCAATGTGCTTGCTTCAGTCATAGAACACCGGACTCTTTAGAATTTCTATTTTGGACTTATAATTAACAAATATCCCTGTAGCTTCCTTTTGTGTCATGTCTATTGCTTTGAATAGATTTCGAAGCCATACAACATGACAAACACATGAGTTGGTAGCAATATATTCCGCTTCGAATGTAGAGAGTCACAATTGACTGTTTCTTTGAACTCCAACTAAAAGCCGTTTTATTCATAAGAAAGACTATTAGGTCCCTGTCTTTAGCCTATAAAACTGTGAAAATAGAGCTCAAAGAGGTAATGTGAAGTCTTCCATAGATGACCAAGAGTTTTACAAAAGGATGAACAAACTTAACGTAAAACCTTCGTGGGTGATATATTCTCTGCGCAGGTATGTGTATTTCAGGTAAAGACTTACGTACTCCATTCCCTAGAGGCATATTTTATAGCCTTTGGGAATGGGTAGGTTTACAATGATTGAGTTCTAACATTTAACAGGCCCATATCCCCTTTTAGCACACTTTGCTCATCCGAATATCCTATAATGTAAAGCTTCGAAATGTTCTGAACTAAGAAAGATATCAAGCTTCGAAAAATTCTGTGATTAAAGAAACTCCAAACTTTGAAAAATTCAAAACATCAAGAAATTCTTAAAAACTAGAAATCTTCAGAATGTCGAGATCTTCAAATATCGAAATCCCAAATTTCGATGTTTCGTAAACCCAAAATGTCAAGATCCTGCAAAATTAAAATTTCGAATTTTGAAAAACTGAAACCTGTTCTGAATAGCCCTGATGATCGAGATTCTCCCTGTATCAATTTCAAGTCGAAATCGTTTCTGCAGCCATGTAAAATTAGAATCTCGAGATCTCAATGTAGAGATCTTCGAAATTTAAAAATTGCAGATATCGAAAACGAAGATATGCTGTAGAATTGTTTTTGAAAGGCGATTCCAACAGTATAAATTTTACAGATTTTCGTTCACAAAAAAGATTACAGGAGCAAATCTCTATATTAAAGAAAAAACAGAAGAAAAGCAGAGCAGTTCTTCGTTAGATACGAAAAACGCAGATAGATTCAACCTTTTTCACGCCTCGGCTGTGATACCAATTGATAGTCCCTGTTCTCTAACAATCAAACAACCATAACAGATAAAGAAGAAGCAGATAGAAAGATATCGAGATGAAACCCAAATCTGGTATACCGTGAACTGGTCGCTGCCCTCCTTCGAGAAGGAGAGCAGTGACAAACCCTACTCTCTATCTCGCCTCTAACTCTCAAGCCTCGAAAACCTTAGGGTTTCCATAAGTTAGTCTCCTTTTATAGGAGAAGTTGGCTAACTTATGGATTACAAAGAAGCTAATGAGCTGATATACAATTGTGACTCATATTACACGTGTAACTAATAACTACACAAATTTAAAGATATTTAATTAGATTGGACACCATTAAATATTCCTAGAAATTTTGTCTTCAAATCTTCATCGTGAACCTCCCGGTGACCTCCAAAGCTCTCAATTCTCTCTAGAATGCATCATCAACTCATCCCGATTGCTACTCAAGCACCGGTGTCGGACTCTAATTTCCTGATTTTTGACTCCAAACAACACAAAACTCGAACCAACGCCCGGCAAACATAACTTGAGCTAAAATTGACACTTATAACACCTTAAAGCTAGGAAAACCATCAAAATCCAATCCCAGCACGCATTGCGTGTTGCAATATGGACTTATCAACCACCCTCTTGACAATTACTCCTATATTGAACCATTAATACTCATATAAGCGGTGATACCAAAACTAGCATCATGAAATTATTTATTTTATCATACTCATAAACATTACTCGTATTTATGATAAAGAAGTAAAGTGTCATAAACAATGGTGAAGAAAGTGTCATTTGTAACAACAAGGTGCTTTATTTGGTAATAAAATCAGTTACTCCGGCCTTGCGGGGTCTAATAACATAATTACTCCTACATATTCTTCAGACCTAATATTTTGCTCACAAACAATAAGAGCATTTTAGCACGCATTTTGTTCCGTGAGAGCTCTTTCAGGGGTCACCCATGCATCCTAAGACTACTCGCGTGCAAGCACGCTTAACTTGGAGCTATTAGCATATGAGCTTCTTTAAAAGGATATGCGCCTTGTTGGTATGAGTAGTACTATTACTCATTCTAAATTAATCTCGAGCATTACAATTTTCTTCCCACTTTGGATTGACACACTTTTTAGTAAAAGAAAAATGTATGACTTTGATTGAGATACAAAGATTATGGTGAATGTTAACCACACATAACATCTCTAAAAGGAAATTAAATGTAAATAATGTTTTGGACAATCCCAATTGGGATGGTCTAAATTGGGATGAAGGGAAAATGATTATGGGGTGAACGGAATATGTCTTATTTGTTAATCAAATATCCATTAACCACTAATCCATTAGCTAAAAACCATTTCAAAAAATAATGTTGTGATTATGCCGTGAATGCAATTTCGAGAGCGTAATCACATGAGCATCAACCAAACTTACTGATAATTTTGATGTCTGTAAATCAAAACCTCACCAACGTTTGTTTCTAACGGGGAATAATACAACAACCTTAATTTGGTTTTGGGAAATAATGAGCATGAGCAATGTAAAGGTTATTTGTTGACTTTGAGTAAAGAATACAATATACAGTTACATATTTTTTTGTTTAATATGTGTTTGAATAAGGGAAAATTATCAAAATAAGAATAAAAAAGTTTTGAAATTCCAAAATAGAACTGTCTGTCAAGTTTGGCATTACCAGGCTATAAACACGACATTTTCTACCAAGTTTTTACAAACCTGGAAGATATTATTCCTATTTAGAGAATAAAAACATGAGAAAAATTGAACAATTTCTATTAGAAATTTCAAAATCGTTTTTACTCCTATTCAGAACAATTTCTATTAGAAAAATTGAATTGTAATCATTTAAAACCTAGAACACTTCCTAGGATATTTATGAGAAATCTAAATTATTTTAAGACACTTTCACACATATCTTACAACTCGTTAAGATACTGTTAGGGGGGTGTATCATGTGCGTTCCCTCGTTTGGCAATGATCTAGCTCTCGAAATCTTATACTCTACGCCGCGAGAGCAGTAATCATTTAATATTGATACTGTTTACCAATTAAATAATTTTCATGTGATTAATCTTGATCCGTTCCTAAAAGTTGATTGTCCCAAAATCAATCCATGATCCTTTTTTGTCATTCAGACATTAGAACCAATCAGATTACTTTATTTTTGCTGCAATATTATTTTTCCAAACCAATCTCAATGATCATTGTTTTAATTTTATTAAATCGTGAATCATTATTTTCCTTCCTAACTTGTTGAGATGATACTCGTACTTTACCCATATACTACCAACATTTATTTTTTTAAGTGCCATAAAAACTCATGTACATCATAGGAGAAAAAGTTCTCTTTATACTATACGTACTCCTCCGCTAAGCACCCCAACATCTCAATGCTTATCATAGAAACACATGTATTTAATACTCTGTAGTACCTACATCTCAATTGAACTTCTTGTCCAATAATTCCTTCTCATAAATTCACGCATTTTTGTTCTCACTCTTGCATTGTTTACAATCACATTCAACCATATATCTTTGAGTTTTTTTCTTGGTTTACCAAATTAAAGACCCTGAAATTAGTTACTTATCTTTATATATATTACATACTTCATAGTAATCACTAGTGAAGTGAAATGGGTTCAATCAAACAGGAGATGATAAGATCACGAGTCTTTCCGTCCTGAACACCGTAGCCATCCCCACTTTGGTAAACAAAACGCGACACTCGTGCGGCATTCGTCACGCATTTGACCAACATTCTCATTGACGATGAAAATTGTTTTGTATTTAAGCAATGGTTGTTGATCTCGGTCAATGCATCATGAACCATGTTTCTAATGTGCTCCCGAGCCACATCTTCGGTCACACCTTCTTCTTTCATGTAACACTGTATCGAAGAAGGTACATCGCCTCTTTCCATTTCAGCCTAACCATTTAAATCATTTAAATCAAACAACTAAGACTAAATCAATAAAATCATTTCAATATGTACTACTCCATCTGTCTGGAAAATTGACCAATGATATCTTTTATATATATCAATCTTGACCAATATATATCAATCTTGACCAATATAAATCAATCTTGACCAATGATATCTTTTATACGAAATTATTTTGAATATAGAAATTTGAAATTGCCCTGAATAGGAGAAAAAATGTTTTGAATTTCCAAAATAGGACCTTCATGTTTTTATTCGCTAAATATGAGTAATTTATGGCAAGTTTGGAAAAAACTCATCAAAAACCGTCATGTTTAACACCTGATAATGCCAAACTAGGCAAAAATTACTCCTATTTAGGGAATAAAAACATAACAGTCTTATTTTGGAATTTCAAATTTTTTTTACTCCTATTTAGGAAGTTCCCATATAGAAATTATATCAGAATGTTCCTTATTCAAAATATTATTTATAAAAGTATACACATTATAAATTATATCATCCTCCGTATCGCATTAGTTGCAACATTGGAATATTTACACTATTCATGTACTTTACTTTGACTACATTTTATTTATTAATATATGTGAATTATTTTTTTTAAAAAATATTTTTAAATTCATCTCATTATAATGACGATCAAAGTTTTGCATTGGCAAACATGAAAAAGGGAATGTTGCAAGTAAAAAGAGACGGAGGTAGTATACAAATATAATAATTGAAATCACTATCTAAAATTTATCATCATTGACCAAGAAAAGTCAATTTGACGAACTTTTCGAGATTAAGGTAGTATACATTAGATTAGGAGTTATGGATAAAGTGCAAACAAGAGTGAATTAATGCATTGTCGCATACAAGGGAGTGTTGGTCTTACAATTGAAGTTCCTAGATCGTTGCATAACCTGATTATAAGCGAGGTGTTATATACAAGATCTCTCCTCTTTTGAATGAACTCCATAACTTCAGAGAAATCCTGGGCTACCCCTAGAATTAATTGGAGTAGAAGCAGCGGGCCTGATGATGATATCCACCCATTGTCTAAGTACTCCCTCAACGTTGGTGTGTATCTTATTGACTCCCACTTTGCTTCAACTAGTAATGTTTTGCAAAAATCTGCCCACTAATTTAAAAATAATAATATATTTTTAATTATGTCCAAACACATTGTCTTTACCTTTAATTACTCATTTTTCAACTTATGAGCTTTGCCCATCAACTTTTATACCAAATTAAGAAAAGACATTCACTTTCACGCAATGAATAATGTAATAATAATGATGATTTGATATTTATTTGTATACACTAAATTTATTGAATTTGGTAAAGAGAAATACTTCATATTTTTCACATATTTTTTAGTTTATTATATTGTTAAAATAATTTTTTCTTCATAATTCATAACATTTAATAAATTTCATTGTTATCAGACGAATTCATAGCTATCAACTTCTTAGGATGGAACAAAACATAACATATGGTGTTATGTTTAAATAACTGTTGGGGAATATCATCCCGGCCTAATACTATCCAGAGGCCCAAGGCTTCACCCCAGTATGGAACCCAGTTGGCGAGGCCCATTTAGGCCCCTCGGGCCCATCGAGAGCCATTTAGGCCCACTCGGCCTACCCGACCCATTTCGACCCGTTAAGGCCCGCTAGGCCCATTAGGCTAGAAATACCCCCTCTCTCTTCTATAAATAGGAAACAAGGCTTCCATGTAAAAGGATCTGGCTTTTTGACCTCTTCCCTCCTGGAGAGCTTCTCGGCTCCCCTTGCAACTCTTTAGATAGCTACAAACTTCATTAATGGAGGTTTCAACATTTGTATATGTATTTTGGTGAGGAGAGTACTAATGAGAAAGAGAGGGCTTGGGCGTTAGCCTAAAAAGTCTCGTGGTTTTCTCCCTTTTCGGGTTTCCACGTAAAAATTGAGTGTTATACCAAATTATATCTATATTTATTAGTTTATGTTGGACTTAAACTCAACATTGGCGCCGTCTGTGGGAAAAGATCAAAAAGCATAACATGTTGTTCTTGATTTTGCTGGAAAAATCGAGCCGGATGCACTCCCAAAGTAAGAAGCAAGGGATGTCAGTTGATTTTGGAACACCTAGTCGTTGGGTCGGAGGAGGAAGGAGGTTTTACATGATAAACAAACCCATGTAGTTTACTCTGGTGGAAACCCATCTGTGGAAGTAGCTTCCGGAACCATTGGCTGAAGAAGCCACCCAACGGACCACAACTCCCTGGCAGAAGGAAGATGATGGCTTGTGGGGTCCACTGGTGCCAGCTGTGAGCGATAAAAGTGCTGTCTCTCTGCAACAGTTGCAATCTGGCAGGAATAAGTGGCTAAAATGACCAGTGGGCCCACATGTCGACTAAGTGGAATTCTGTCTCGTGGGTTTAAACTTTGCATGACATGTCATTTCATACGTGGAATTCTTTGTTTAGGAATTACTATGTCAGTTTACGTAGTAGTAGTTGCATGCATGTTTATTCATTAGTGGGTTATTGGGTTAATTAGTGGTAGAAGTTGTAACTCCATTTTGTACGTGTTCAGTTCTTTATATGTTAAGAAAAGTCGGTGTATCAAAGCACGATGCTTTGTGCACCACAAAAAAAAGAAAACAACTGTGTCTCTCCATGTTCTTCTTTGCATGCATGACATATACACACACATAGTTATAAACACTCAACAACTTGAACTCCAACATTTGGTATGAGAGCATTGGGTTCATAGCTTTTGAAGGATGGTAGGTTCAAGCGTAGAAGACAACCATGGTGGCAACTCGGATGGGAAAGGTGCATCCATCACGCTCAAGTACCCTATGCTAACTAAAAGTAACTATGCGGCATGGGCCATAAAAATGGAAGTATTCATGATGGCACAAGGAGTGTGGGATGCCATTGAAATTGTAGGACCAGTTGAAAATCGAAGGGACAAGATGGCATTGGCTTCTATCTACCAAGGCATAGGAGAAGATGTCCTTCTTCAACCTGGCGCTAAGATGACAACAAAAGAGGTATGGAATATGTTGAAAAACATGAACCTTGGGGCAGACAAGGTAAAAGAAGTAAGGACACAAACTCTATGGAAGGAGTTTGAGTCTTTAAGAATGGGTGATTCAGAATTAGTAGATGACTATTCTGGAAAACTTACCACAATAGTTACCAAGTTTAGAGGACTGGGTGATACAATGGAGGAAGTTAAATTATAAAGAAACTCCTGAGATCTACCTCTCCAAAGTTTCTGCAAATAGCCTCAACTATTGAGGAGTTTGGTGACTTAGATGCTAAAACTGTATTTCAGATTGTTGGTTCTCTTAAGGCACATGAAGAGAGGATGTTTGGGTTTGGAAATGTGAACGAGGAAAATGTTCTTCTAACCCGGGTGAGTGGAAAGCTTTAGAAGATAAAGACTCAAACAACAGGCCAACAAGAAGTCAAGGACACCATAGAGGTGGGAGAGGTAGAGGCAGGGGTAGAGGGACAAGCAGTTCACAAAGAAGAGAAGAAGAAACACATCAATCCAAGAAGAAGTTTGACAAGTCAAAAATTGATTGTTATAACTGTGAGAAGTTGGGGCACATTGCATCAGAATGTATGGCAACAGAAAAGGATGAAGAGTCTCTGCTCACAAAGGCAGAGGAATCTGAGGAGCCAACCCTTTTGTTGATTGAAACCTGTGAACTGAATAGAACCCAGGCCACACAAGATAAGAAGGAATTGCTAGCAGTAAGTGAAGAAAACAAGAATGAGACAAGCTGGTACCTTGATACTGGGACAAGCTGGTACCTTGCTAGCAGTAAGTGAAGAACACAAGAATGAAACAAAGACTGCTTCACTGACATTGATCAATCTATAAATGGAAAGGTACGCTTTGGTGACGGCTCAATTATTAATATATATGGACTAGGGTCAGTAAACTTTCAATGCAAAAATGGAGAGCATCTTGTTCTGTCCAATGTATTTTATATACCTAAGCTAAACAGTTACATCATTAGCATAGGCCAACTGGTTGAGGAAGGAAATAGAGTGTCTATTTGTGAAAGACTTCTAAAGGTCTATGATGGATCAAATAGACTAATCATCGGTGTCATAAGACAACACAACAGACTCTTTACTATCAAGTTACATCCTATAGAGAGGATATGTTTGATAGTGACATTGTCAGATCCTGCTTGGCTATGGCATGCCAGGTATGGACATTTCAATTTCCAAGATTTGAGGAAGCTGACATCTCAGAAAATGGTAGATGGTATACCATCTATAACTCGGATAAATCAGGTGTGTGATGGGTGTGTAATTGGGAAACAACACAAACATGTTTTTCCCAATAAGGCAGTTTTTAGAGCAAAAGAGCAGCTTGAATTAGTTCATGGAGATTTGTGTGGACCCATATCACCTATAACCCCAGGAGGAAATAGTTATTTCATGCTCCTAGTTGATGATTTCTTTCGCTACATGTGGATGTATCTCCTTAAATACAAGAGTGAGGCTTTTGAGGCATTTAAGAAGTTCAAAACACTTGCAAAGAATGAAGTGTCCAAGAAATTAAAATGTTTTAGAACAGATAGAGGAGGGGAGTTCAATTCTAGTGATTTCATCAAATACTGTGAAGAACAAGGAATCAAGAGGCATCTCACCACTCCATACTCCCCACAACAAAATGGAGTTGTAGAGAGGAGGAATCAAACAATAATGGAAACGACAAGAAGCATTATGAAGAGTAAAAATGTGCCATCTAAGCTGTGGGGAGAAGCTGTAAGAACATCAGTTTACACACTGAATAGAGCACCAATAGGAAGTGTAGAGGGAATGACTCCCTATCAAGCGTGTATTGAAAAGACACCTAATGTTCAACATTTTCGTGTTTTTGGTTGCATTGAACATGCAAAGGTGGTAACTCCTAACCTCTCCAAGCTGGCAGATAGAAGTGTAAAATCAGTTATGCTTGGATATGAAGAAGGCACAAAGGGGTATAGATTGTTGGAACCATACAAAGAAAAGATCATAATCAGTAAAGATGTAGTATTTGAGGAAGATCAGAACTGGCCATGGGATACAATTGAGAAGAAAAATGCAACTGAAAGGTGGGAAAGTTTTATTGTAAACATAGGAACCTCAGAGGCAAACCAGAATACTGATTCCTCAAGTTTGAGTGAAGGAGAGTTTTCACCACATGACTCACTTCCAAGCTCACCAAGAACTAGCTCAGACTCTAGTAGTGATCATCATAGATACATGACACTGCAGGATACTTATGACTCAACCAGAGAAGTGGAGGAGGAAGTTGGGCTATGCTTCCTGTCTATTGATGAACCTGGAAGCTATGAGGAGGCATCAGGAGACAAGAACTGGAAGGAGGCAATGAATCAAGAGATTCTTTCAATTGAGAAAAATAGAACCTGGGAGCTCACAGATATACCACAAAATCAGAAGGTTATTGGGCTTAAATGGGTGTTTAAGCCCATTAGATACTCGGTACAATATTGACACTTCCGTCCATGAACCGAACATGGTTTCTCGCAACGCTAACCGTTCTGCCCACATACTAAGTCTAGCTTGCCTTGTCTTGACTAAGTCCCGATGCCTTAGCCAAACTTCCACCTTGCCCGTTCCTCGCAAAGCAATGTCGCAACATGCCTTTGCCTTGGCGACGCCTCACCATGATGACTTTGGCTGCATCCCATGCCCCGAAGCCACCCTATTGAGCCAATGCGATGTCCTGTTGATGTGACAGTTTCTGCTGATGCATTTTCTATTCAGAACCGAAAGACAGACCCAATACTGGCCAAAGGCAATCATGAAGAAGGCTTATATGTTTTACAGCAGGCTCATACTACTCTCTCAGCAACTCTTAGAATACATTCCTTGCATGGATCTTTTACTTTGTGGCATCATCGGTTAGGCCATGTTGGTCATCATGTTATTTCTCTTTTAAATAAAATGGGAGCTTTATCTGTTTCATCCCTTTTACCCGATCCCCACATTTGTATCCCTTGTCAAATGGCCAAGAGCCACAAACTTCCATTTTTAGTTAATAACAAACGTGCTTCCTGTCCACTTGCTCTTGTGCGCTGTGATATTTGGGGGCTTATGCCTGTGTTATCTGTTTCAGGTTTTCGATTTTATGTGTTATTCGTGGATGATTACTCTCGTTTTTCATGGCTATATCCTATGAATAACAAGTTCAATTTCTATCTTATTTTTCTACAATTTCAAGCCCTTGCAGAAAATTTACTCTCGTGCAAAATTAAAACATTTCATAGCGATGGTGGTGGAGAATTTACTAGTAACAAGTTTAAGTTGCATCTTCAAACACATGGCATTCAACCCCAAATTTCATGTCCACATACTCCGACCAAAAATGGCCGGGTTGAACGGAAACACCGCCATGTTACTGAAATGGGTCTCTCAATGATATTTCAGTCTAATATTCCTTCTTCTCATGTGGTTGATGCATTTTCAACAGCGTTTTACACTATAAATTGCTTGCCCTCACCTGTCTTGAATAGTCATATGCCATTTGAACTTTTATTTGGTTCTACGCCAAACTATGCTAATTTCCGACCGTTTGGGTGTCGTGTGTTTCCATGCTTACGAGAATATGCAGCTAACAAATTTGCTCCTCGTAGCAAACCATGTATATTTCTTGGTTATCATTCTCACTACAAGGGGTTCAAATGTCTCGAACCAGAATCGGGGCATATTTATATCACTCGACCTACACAATGTGATAAATCTTTCTTCCCGTATTCCAGTGCAGGAGCTTTACAAAGCACTGATACATTGGCTTATTCTACATTCTATGAACCTCATATTGGATCCTTAGCTCCATCCACCGTTGACCATGCTACTCCAATAACATGTTCCACAGGTTCAACTCCACCAGCTTCATGTTCGATATGTTTCACATATTCTATAACATCTCAGCATCGACATCTCCTCGCTCTGCATCTAAGATACCTTCCATTGTCTCTTCTCGTTTCACAAATACTTCTGCTCTTCCTATTTCTTCATCCGATGCAGCCACTGCTATCTCCAGACATCCCATGGTTACTCGAGCTAAAGCCGGTATCTTCAATGGAAGTATATTCTGGTCTCATACATTCTCTCTTACACATGGAGTAAGCCATTTACGGATTGCAGTTATGGATTGCAGTTATGAATGCTAAAATTTTTGCCTTACGTGCAAATCATACATGGGAGCTTGTTCCTCAACCTTCTTCTGGTGCAAATATTGTTGGCACAAAGTGGGTCTTCCGCACAAAATATAAAGCTGATGGTTTGGTTGACCGTTTTAAAGCACGCTTGGTCGCTCAAGGCTTCACTCAAGTTCCAACTTTTGATTTTCACTCTACTTTTAGTCCGGTCATTAAAGCTTCCATTGTTCGTGTCGTTCTAGCAATTATGCGTGGCTGGCCTCTTCATCAATTGGATGTCAACAACGCCTTCTTAAATGGCTTTCTTCACGAGACTATGTTCATGGAGCAACCACCGGGTTATGTGGATTCCCGATTTCCTAATCATGTCTGTCGTCTAAAAAAGCACTTTACAGTTTTAAACAAGCCCCGAGAGCGTGTTTTCAGTGCTCCAGTGATTTTGTTCATAGCTTGGGTTTTGTTGGTAGTCATTCTGACACTACTCTATTCATCTCCAACAAAGATCCAACCTTACTTTATCTCTTAGTTATGTAAATGATATCATCCTCACAGGAAATGATTCATCATTTATTAAAGAGTTCATTACTCGGATTCACATCGTCTTTGCTATTAAAGATTTAGGGCAGCTCAATTATTTTCTTGGCCTGGAGGTTACTCATTCATCTGATGATTTGTTCTTGGGACAGTCTAAGTATGTCCATGATATATCATTGTGGGCTCACTTGCTGGATAGTAAACCTATGGCTACTCCTATGGTTGCAGAGCAGCACTTGATGGTCTCTGGTGCTTTATTTCATGATCCGATGTTATATAGGTCGCTTGCTGGTTCTCTTCAGTACCTTACCATTACTCGGCCGGATATTTCCTTTGCGGTTAACACCGTTAACCGGTCATGCAACACCTTACTGTAACTCATTATCAAGCTGTCAAACGTATTTTGTGTTACGTGAAAGGTACATCTCATTTTGGATTAAAATTTACAAGAACTACTACTCCTCAGTTACTTTGATATTCTGATGCCGACGGGGCATCTTGCCGTGATACACGCCGCATTGTCTCTGGTCACTCTGTGTTCCTAGACCCGAATCTCGTATTGTGGAGTTCTAAAAAGCAGCCCACCATTTATCGATCATGTTGTGAATCCGAATATCGTGCGCTAGCAAATACATCTGCAGATATCCTTTGTTTGTCTCATCTCCTTAAAGATTTGTGTGTTTCCTTGTCCGGGACTCCTATGATTTTATGTTTTAACAAGAGTGTTGTTTTCATCAGTACAAATCCCATCTCTCGCAAACCGGATAAACACATTCATCTTGATTGTCATTTTATTCGAGAGCAAGTTATGGTCGGTCGACTCCTTATTAAATTTGTGCCTTCTCACTTAAATGTTGCTGATGTTTTCACCAAAAGTCTATCCAAACCGTTGTTCCCGCTCTTTAGACACAAGCTTTGCGTTGTACCATATCTCACGCTGTGCTTGAGGGAGGATGTTAACGATAATGATCATCAAAGTGATAATTATCTAGTTTGTAAAAACTAATACTAATAAATCTTCCTAGAGTTTATCTTGTATATGATATAATTATATATCTGTAACTTTTGTATAGAATAGAATTATCCTTCTGTACTTATCTATTTACTTGTACTCCTATATATATGAGCAATATGCAAATCACAATTTTAAGGTGGAAATTAAATTCCTTCGGTACATATATATTATACAAATAGTTAGAGATTTATCATTATGTAAATATGTAATTAAACTCTATAATGTAATTACTATGGTAACTTTAGTCATGATAATATACTGACTTTTAGTTGTTGTGTTTGTAAACAAGTTTCATTTCAGTATATTTTTTGAAAAGAACTTGCAAAAACTAAATGAAATGTCCGATAATCCATTTATAATCATAAAAAAAGTGATATATATCACAATTCGTAGATGAAACAAGCATAGGCAGTCGAGAATACGAACCGCTCTTCGTAAACATGGTAAAGCCGAGTTGTCGTCCCAACCCTTGTGTTCACAAATGTGAAGAACAATACCATTGGTGATATTATCAAGTGCCTCAAAGCATATCCTCATGCACTCAGGTAAATCCCCAACTCTGTTAGGGTCCCACCTGCAATAATTAATTAATTACGTAATTACAAAATGGACCCGTTTAAGTTTTAAATAATTATGAATAATTGAATGAAATGAATGGTTGTGATTAAAAAAGTTCATCATAAAAAGTTTTCAATTTAAGATGATTTTCATTAGAACATTTTCCTGTGTGCGGTGAATATATTAAAACTAAAAAATTATTTTGTAATCTAATTTGAACCGGAGTTCGAACATCTAATTATGTAATCAAGCCCGAGCCGATTTATTGCTGTCATACTAGTCCGAACTCGAACTCGAACTCAAAGAGATTCATGCTTATTGACTTCGAGTATATCTAAGAGCGCGTTTGGTAACACTGATCGGCTGAATCGGCTGATCGATTGGCTGAAGTTGCTCTATTGGTTGATTCTGTTAATTTATAAAAAAATATTTTAAATAAATTTTGTTAATAAAATAAAAATATATATATGAAAAATAGCAAAATGATCATATAGAATAACTTCAAATTTACTTTCTCTTATTATTATATAGTTCGGCGCGTGAAATTAAAACTTACGTTTTTATTATATAGTCGAAAAGTTTCTTTCTCTAATTCAAACTCATTCCGGTTTACACAATTGATAGCTATGGCAATATACATACATGTCAATAGCATTTGTGAGGATTTCCAAATCTGGTATGGACCCATAGATGTCATAAATATCGTCCACTATTAAACTCAATATTGTGGCCTTGGTCAGCCATTTTCTGGACTCCCCGTGTTCCAGCTCAGACACTACACCTACGGACCACATGAAGCTTTCAGCCACTCTTTCTCTTGTGAAGCTCAGGGTTTCAATTCCCCCGAGATTCCTCCACCATCTAAATGACATTTTTGTGACATTTAGGTTTAGTGGAGTATAACAATTGTTAAAATGTCAAAAATGATATCCAATTCATCAAACTGGAATTAATTACACCATTTCAAGCAAATTAAAGAAATTTGCTAGATTCCCTAGGTATTTAAAAGTGCCTCATAATAATAATAATATTCAGTAGTTTTTTCTTTTCAAAAGTTTAGTGAAGTTTAAACTTACTTAAAAAATATCATCAATACTTACTTCTACCTACATCCCTTTTAAGGGTTGATATTTTAAATTAAAACGATGCACTTATTTAGACAATAATTAAATACCGCAGTTCGAGTATATTTTGAGAAATAGATTTGGTGGGTGTATAATATAATATGATTATTCATGATAATTGTGATGTTAACGATGTATTAATTTTAATATTTGAGATTGAATTGACATTTAAAAATGCTAATTGTTTCTTAAAATATAAAATAGGAACCTCGCCTTTAGCAGGGACATCCAACAAGGAGAGTGATAATCTTTGAATGAGACGGTTGGAGTATAAGTTACTATATTTAAGTTATTACTATAATTATTACATATAAGAAGTCACAATTTGTAAATAACATTTATTTTGTCATATATGTATTAGAAATTGCCCTAAGTAGGAGTAAAAACTCTTTGAAATTCCAAAATAGGAGTATCATGTTTTTATTCCCTAAATAGGAGTAAATTTCTGCCAAGTTTGGCATTACTAAGCTTTTAAACATGACATTTTTTTCCAAACGTGACAAATTACTCCTATTCAAGGATTAAAAAACATGATACTCCTATTTTGGAATTTCAAAACATTTTTACTTCTATTTAGGGAATTCTCTCTATATGTATGTAACTATTTTATAATAATAATAATAATAATAATAATAATAATAATAATAATAATAATAATGTTTTTTAGTTGAAATGATATAAATATCTAGTCAGACCTCGTTTAATTTGTTTAAGTCTAATAAATGTCTTGCATATGTATTAGTATTATTTACATTTGCTTTGATCTTCCTATTTAAAAATGGTCTGACCTCAAATTGAAATGAATCCAATTAAAAACATTGAACATAAAATCAAAACCAATCAGGATATATCAAAATTAAATTTCAATTGTTTCATCGTCTCCTTTATCACACAAGTTACTTAGTCAGATATATATGATCAAAGTGCACAAATCCAAAAATGTAGTCTTTCTGTACTGATTCTTTTCTATACTCTAATTAACTTAACTCTACTTTAACATAAAATGTAATAAAATAGTAGTAGTTTTTTGAAAAAATGAAATGTATATTACAAATAGACTTTTCTGGACAAAAAATATGACTGATAATTTTTTTGGATAAAAATATGACTAGTTACTGTGAACTAGTCATTATAGTGTATTTTAAAATGACAAATCACCGTAGATGACGAATCACTGTGAAGTAGTCACTAAATATGCCAATTTTTATAAAAATATGACTACTTACTGTGAACTAGTCATTATATTTTTGCCTTTTGAATTTAATTTAGTATGGAGTAATATTTATCATATCAAATTCCATTTTAAAATTCAATAGAACTTTTATGGTAGTTTCTTACACATTATTATGTTAATTTGAACCACGTAGTAATATATACATACTCTGTAGTACTCATTCACAAAATTTTGTTAATTTTTCTTATTTAATTGTCTAAAACTTTATCACTTTCTTTCTAAACTAAATAAGGTTTGATACTTTGATTAATATACTTTTCCGTCATGTATAAAAATTTCGAACAAACTATGCTTATTGCACTACTTTTTGTGTTCATAAAAAATGACAAATTTTAGAGAAATGAAAAGTACGTTATTTTTAAAATTTAATCTTACAAATAATTACCTATTAATGATTAAAATAAAGGATGTTTAAATAACCATGACCCCTATTAAGTGTAATGACTATAATAGTAGCTATAATCATTGTAACATGTGCAAGTATTACATTTAATTCCTCATGCCATCATACTATAATAACTTTTATTCATATTTTTTTAATTGAACGAATTTGATTTAAGTAATAGTTTTGAAAAATATCTTAATCTTAACATCAGTCGACTGTATATGTATTGATCGTAAGTAGAACTGAGAACGATGGATTATGGATGACTGGATGAGACTTTAAGGGGACAGATGAAAGATTTATACTCCCTATTATTTTGGAAGACATAAGTCTCTGACTTCTAGCATTTATACAATTTAAAAAGTCTCTAAAAGCTTCTAGTTATATGTTTGGTATGACAATTGTTAAAAGCTTTTCAAAAAGTAAAAGATCTTTTTTGAGATGCTACATGGAGTAGCATCTGAGAAAAGTCTGTGGCTTTTAGCATTAATTAGTCCTAACAGCCTGTATACCAAACAGAACTAAATCAAACAGTCACCTTTTTACTAAACAGCTACCACCTTTTACTTTTAAGATCTTTTCAGTCACTAAAAGCTAATATTTACTAAAAAGTCTGTAAAAGTGTTTTTTCAGCTAGGTTTGCCAAACATACCCTACATCTTGATTATTATAAAATACTACTAGTATGATATTTCTACAACATCCCTCCATTCCATTTAAATGTTCTCACTTTACTTTTTTGGACATTCTATCTAAAGGTTCACATTTTCTATTTTAGGAATTAATTAACATTCTTAAATGATAATTTAATCATCAATTATTAATAACAATACATCTATAACATCACAGTTATCATCAATAAGCACATTATATTATGTGCATGTTTGGCGGGCATAAGTCTCTGCCTTCTAGCTTTTGTACTATTTAAAAAGTCTCTAAATGCTTGTAGTTATATGTTTGACATTGACAAATTTTAAGAGCTTTTCAAAAAATAAAAGATCTTTTTAAAGATGCTATAGGGAGTAGCATCTGAGAAAAGTCTGTGATTTTAGTATTAATTAGTCTTAACAACTTGTATACCAAATAGAACTAAATCGAAGAGTCAGCTTTTTACCAAACAACTACCACCTTTTTCTTTTAAGATCTTTTCAGTCTCTAATAAAAGATAACAGTTACTAAAAAACTTATAAAAGTATATTTTCAGCTAGTTGTGCCAAACATATCCTATATACCATCAAAACAATTTTTCAGAATATAAACTCAAATAATCATACGTAATTAACCGTGTCGTTTTGTAATGTGAACCTTTGAGTGGAAGGAATGTAGTATTCCCTCCGTCCCATTTTATATGTTCTACTTTCCTATTTGCGTTGTTCCAAAATAAGTGTCACATTTGCGGAAAAAAATATGTGGTCTATAACATTTCACTTTATTATATTCAAATCTTAACTATAACTTTACTTTTTCAACGACTTTATTTGTAATTGTGTCAAATCATAGTAGGACACATAAAATGGGACCAAGGTTGTAATATTTTTTACTGGGCTCGGAATTTCATTGAAATTTATTTGAAAAATGATTTAATTATTAAAGATGGGTGATTTTCTTTCAAAAAATATTTATAAGAACAGCATACCATTTAATTTTGTTTTTGAGAACGGAAAGATCAGATCCCCATACCTTACGATATCGACAAGGTTTTTTTGGTGCTCAGCTTGAACTATATTAAAGTTCAATTTTGCAAAATAAAAAAGGTTGGAATACTTTGAGTTTGAATTATCTTTTTCAAGTCGAGAAATTTCTCTTCTCGCAGCAAACCAAGGGGGTGTCCAGTGCAAAGGAAGCTCTGATAAGCGATGACTAATGTCGTCTTTGTCAGGCCCGTTTTGTGAAACTATCCCATTCCTGAGGGTCTCCGTGCAAAAAAGTCGAGCCTTGAACAAGATGCTTTCGCCGTCTAAGGCCAAATATGAGGCTTCCAAAAGCTCTAGTATTGTTCTAGGCTCTTGTTTTATGTTAAAGTCTCCCATTTCATCCATGAAAGCCATAAACACATCTGCTCGTTTGCGCATTTCCGTAAATCAAAGGGAGATTTTCTAAAATAGGAGTAAATGGAGTTTGGAATTCCAAAATAAGACTAATATGTTTTTATTTCTGAAATAGGATTAAATGACAGTATTTACTGTCATCTTGTAGACGTGACTGTCAAATAATTGCACTGCAGTGCATTTAACATGACAATATTTATTATAATTAATGACAGTATTTTTCAATCATGACAGTATTTTTCGATCATGAAAGTAATAACTCCTATTTCGGGAAGAAAAACATAGTAGTCCTATTTTGGAATTTCAAACCTCATTTACTCCTATTTAGGGCAATTTCCCTAAATCAAAAGAAATCAAATTAGTGACAACAATATGAAGATTTTCAATTTAATTAGAATCTGTTTAGTGATCTTATTTTTTGATTTTTTCATGTTTATCAGCCAAATTTGTCACCAAAAACATAATAAGAATAACTATAGTTGGAGTAACTTTTCTCATTGTATTGCTAGAAGTTACTGTAAAAGATCATTTTAACTATTTTTCGTGTAGTTTATTTCTTTACTTAATTAATCAAATATATTTTAAATATTTTTTTATAAATCAACATAAATAGTTAATCCAATCACTTCAGTCAAAAATTCATAAACTTTAACAAAATGAACCATTACAGTCGATTTGAGCATTACCAGACGGGTTATTAATGATCAAGAATGTATTCATAATAACTTTAGTCATATCTTTCTAAACAGTGATTATCTTTGGTCAATAATGTCACCCATCTCTATCTTTTTCAACCTATATACTCCGTAAAAAAATTAATGAATTTATAAGAATTGAAGTGTGCATATATGTATAATGTATGTACCTTGTGAAACATCATGGCCATATCGTCTCAGAACCCTAAAATGTAAAGCAGTGCCATAGAGATCCATTTTAGAGTGAAGGAACTTTGTATTAGCAGAAGAGAGCATGATGTGGTCAAGACATTCCACAATTTCCTTCTCAAAATGATGGGAAATTGCCATCTTTTCTATGTTGTCTATGAGTTCCAGTTTTGCCACTGCATCCAATGATTCGTCAAAAAGAAGGCCGCGCAACACTTCTTTTTTTAGCTTGTGAGCCCTTCGTTGGTGTTCCACGTCCTGCACTTTTGTACGGAGTATTATTTGGTTATCATAATTGACACACTCCATCCCTCAGACCCCCAACACCGACAGGACAATTAGATAGAATGATGTAAATTAGTCTTTAATCACAAATAGTGAAGTTCTGACTCTGGTACTTGCAGAGGCCGTATACATTTTTAGCATAGTAGCCTCTCATTCCAGTTGCCGGGATTCGAACCCGAGACTTACCCCTTGTGGCACCCCTATCTACCAGTTGAGCTATCGTTGAGCATTGTCAAGTTTATATTTGGTGTGCAAAGGAGAGATAAATAAACTGAATCTTAAATTATTTAATTTAAAAGGAGGGTGACAAAGTGTATTAGAACAAACACAAATGAAAGTTGACAAAGACCGCAAAGTCCAATGAAACTGAAGAAGTATTTTTTTGCAAAACTTTCTTACCTATTATAGTATATGTCCTACATTAAGGCCAACATCCTTGAACTGGAATGAGATTCGAACATGTGACATCTTCCTTAAGAGTGTTATAGTGATGTCATCACAGCACAAGATATTTGGCCGGAAGAAGTAGTTAATAATTCATTCGATAATGTATGCTTATTTCAAGTTCTCAAGTGATCATTATTAAACACGGGATGTTATTCACTGTAAATCTTCTTTGCTAAACAATTTGACATTATAGTTTTATAGTCCTTACTAGGGGTGGGCAATTTGGTTTACGGTTCGGTTTTCTTCAGTTTCGGTTCGGTTTCGGTTTATCTGGGTTGGGAGAATTTGTACCAAACTAAAATCATTTGTGTTTTGGTTCGGTTTCGAATCGGTTCGGTTTGAAGTTCGGTTTACCAAAATGAAAAGTATTATGTTTAATTTAGTTCGATTTGATTCATTTTCTTATGTGTATTAATTTATTTGATCAAGTTCTATATTTTTGAACTATAAAATGAAAGTAGTAGTCCATCTCATCTTTCGGGCAGTAGTTGTTGCGTGAAATTACTAGTATTAACATGCGCAGGTGTTAGTTGTATATTTATAGGAAAGTCATGTCAAAATTTTTGCCAAATTTTTCTTTAAATTGTATCTTTGTGAGCTGGCTAGACTCTTGACCGTGCTTTTAATTTATAATGTCCTTAAGGTTTTAGGCTTAAATTGCTTACATTGTTAAATCTAGTTGTTGAGGGGATATTGACCCCCTAGTTCTCTAAGCACCAATACTCTGTCAGAATTATTCACGAGTAAGAAAACAGGTCATTTGGCAATAGAACTCAATTTATGGGTAAAGAACAGAATGATCAGGCTCAAAGTGGCTTCTCCTAAAGGACTTATTCAGGTGGGATGGAAAATTATGAATTCAATGGGAAACTAATGAATGGGGTAATGTCTAGTCAAAATCTGAAAAAAATGAAAAAATTAATTAATATAGCTAGACCTCTTACCTTGCAAAAAAGAGAACGGGAAACCCGGTTAAAAAGCGTAAATGTTTTGCACAATAAGATGAGACCTGGGGATCTTTCGAAAGAAATAGCGTTCTCGTGCCAACATGACAAGGAAAAAACAAACCGATTAAAATTGAACTTGAAGGCATTTGCAAAATTTTGCAGTAGTCTTTCGCAGACTTCAAGTATACGTCAAAGCACCAATGTGCAATGACGGTTTAGCTTAGTTGTACACCACGTCTACTCTTTGCATAGAGATAAGTGATAGTCCCTAGTTTACATGTGCAACTTCTTGATCCTAAGAATAGCCCCGAAACTCCCGGATACATTGAGTTACTGTCAGGTTGTTCCAAACTCTCAAAGAATGAGATTTTTTACCATTCACCACCACCTTCACAAGTTCTTCTGATCAGGAGCTAGTTCAATTGTGTGTGTTGCCATAACTTCAAGGATGTTGTGATTAATTTTGTCATTATTTTTAGCTAGAGTACAAAGAGGTAATTTAGGAAAGAATTTTCTTGATTTAGTCTGTATGTTCTGTGAGTATCCCTTTAACTACCTGTGCATGCTGATAGCTTTAATGTCGTGTGGTGATTATTGCAAGTCCCGGAGTTAAGTTTGCTTGAGGACAAACAAAAGCTTAAGTGTGGGAGAACTTGATAAGTCTGTATTTCAACATGCATTTGATGCGTGTTGGATCAGCTTTTGATGGTTTTCCTAGCTTATATGTGTCATAAGGCTCATAATTAGCTCAAGTCATATTTTACAGGGTTTTGGTTTGCATTTGGTGTTTTTAGAATTAAAATCAGGAAATTGAGCCTGACACCGGCGTTGGAGAATTAATAGGGAGGACTCGAGAAACATTTGAGAGTTATTGAGAAGCATTAAAGGTCCACATTCATTAAAGGAGTGATTTTGAAGTGAAGAGAGCTCAAGGATCAAGTACGAGATCAAACGGAAACGAATAGGGCTTGAAAACGGAGATCAGGATGACGTTCTGTCAGTCGTTCAAGCATATCGTTTTGTAGAAACATCCAAAGTACACGATTCAAGTTCCATATGAAAGATAACTTCAAGGGCTACAAATCATATGAAGACACCATGACGAGAATAAGAGAGGAGCAGGTGAACACAGACGAGGAAGTCAGATAATCGATGTTGAGATTTCAGGATGCGACCTTCCACCATTTTATTCATATCTTTTGACTAGATGATCCAAATCCAGTTTTGCAAGTTGTGATGGATAGAAGACTTCATTAGCTAGTATTACTACAACTTTTATAAAGGAAGAATAGTCAAATTCTGATGGGAAATGCGCACGACGTGCGCCCGAAGTAAGCATGTCGTGCACAGAAGAGAAAAATCAAGCTGGAGCTACTGCCGATCGGGCACGCCGTGCGTGCCAAGGGAGGCACGTCGTGCCTGACATTATTCCGCCCCCTGGTGTCCTATTTCGGTCCGAATTGATCTATTTTCTATAAATAAAGCCCCTAAACCCTTGTTTTTGGTAATGGAGCTTAGAGACAGGTCTAGGGACGAGTTTTTATCTACTTTTCTGCTTTGTTATTCAAGACTCTGAGATTATTTGCAAGTTCCAACTTTTTAATTAATGACAATTAAATCTTTGCATCCCAATTATGTTGATTCAATTATGAATTGTGAGTAGTTTTAATTAGAGATTTGGGATTGATGAAGGGGTTGGTCATGATGTATGACTAGTTTTTTGATGGGTTAATTGCATGAATCTTTATTTTATTTGTGTTTGAATGATTTAATTGATATCTCTTGTAACCTAGATCTGCAGCTAGGATTATAATTGCTTGTAGAATAAATCAAGAGAGATATAATTTATTCTAGGATACCTTCACACACACCTAATTGTTCGCTAAGAGATTAGTAACGATTAAGGGGCCGTATGCTCGCTCGTTTTAGCAATAATTTAGAGACCTATCGAATGAGAGATGAGTCTGGTTCCCTAAAGTATTGTACTCTACATCGCGAAAGCGGGTAGAACTTAGTATTGATTAGCGTTGCTCAATTAAATAATTTTCATGTGATTAAGCTTGATCAGCCAGAAATCTGAGTACCCCGAAATCAATCCTTGTTCCCTATCATCATTAATTAGAAAGAACCCGTTTATTTTAATCATTTTTCGCATATTAATTTTCCAACAATCCAAATCTCGCACATCGCATTTATTTTATTTATTTTAATCGCTGAATTCATTTAATTCTTTATTCCCTTTTTCCGTCCCTGTGAAGACGATACTCGTACGTATACCTTATACTGCTACATTATTTTAAGTGCAAGGAAACTCACATCAATTATTTTATCTCATTTTAAAATTGATTATTTTACGCTTCTGATAGTTGCTTCTTGTGTGTGAATGTCATTTTATCTAATTTGATCCAATCACTAGATACTAAATACATGGATTTATTAGACTATATATAGCATGAGAGCTTTCCTTAGAAGGGAAATTTACCATCATCATGACTACTATAATATAATATTAAATACAATAATATTCATTAATGTTACTAATTTACTATTATAGTCATTAAAGTATGAAAAGTCACATATTTATCCACGATATTCAATTTGATCATATATTTGGCATTATTTCCTATTGTAATTGTGATATTTAATTTTAGGTGATAATTCCGGTACCCATTTAAAAAATGGGGTACCGTACCTACCACTCACTTGATTGGTTCAAATCATTACATCATTTTTAATTTAGATTTAAATAATTCAACTACATCATTCTGATTGGTCTATGTCTACAAAGGTATGGTACTTTAAGGGTACCATAGAATCTATTTTAATTTTATTAAGTAGAATATCATAGCATAAACAGGATAGGTTTTATGGGAAAGTTTCCAAAATAGGACTAAAATAGTTTCCAAATTCCAAAATATGACTGTCATGTTTTTTATTCCCAAAATAGGACTAATTACTGTCATGTTTAGAAAATACTGACATGTTTGAAGTCTGGTACTGCCAAAACACGACAGTAATTAGTCCTATTTTGAGAATAAAAACATGACAGTCCTGTTTTTGAATTTTCAAACTGTTTTAGTGGAATTTTCGGGTAATATCTCTAGGTTTTATAGGAAGTAGCCAGATTATGTTTCTGTTTTGGATAAACCGACTAATAACAGATTTAATAACTGACCATTAATCGAATAGTTGAATAACTATTATGACTATAGTTATAACTTTTGAGGATAATATGGACAAAGAACGGTAAGATTGAAAAAAATATAGTGGGACAAATTAGGAAATTAAGGGAGTAGGAGTATAGCCGGATTGCTTACGCCAAATTCACTGTGAAGAGATTGTATGAAGTCGTAATTCCAAATGTTTGGTTGGTAAATAGCGCTTCTCCGATGAAGATTTGCTCCAAATGTTGCGAAGAACGCCTCATGCTTGTCGGCACGGACGGTTGAAACCGAAAATTTGACGGTCGGGAGATTCAGTAATGGGGTCGGACCTCGAACCCTGCTATATCCTCCGATTGTAGGTGAACAACAGATATTTTGTTCGGCGGACATTTTAGAGAAATGCATGTTTTGGCCGGCTTTCCCGGATGGTAGATGTCATAGATTTCTGCCTTTTGTAGGGATGATCGATCAGATGGAGCTTTGACGTAGTCGTATATACTTCGTGTCCGTGGTCTCATATTCTTTCTTTTGATTTGACACGATAATTATTAATAAAATGATTGAAAATATAAAAATAATGTTTGAAATTTAATGATTACAAATTTATTTTGAGCAAAGGAAATATTATAATTATTTTAAAATAACTCAAAAGTTAAAGTAAGACGGATAAAAGGATCAGAAAAAATATTTAATTTCAACATTTTCAATCATTAATACAGTATAATTAAGGAAAAAATAATAAATGTATGCCTAAAATAATGATCAAACACTATGATCATCAATTAACTTGTAGTAACTTAACTCATATGGTGCGTTTGGTTCAAGGAATGTCAGATTCTCATTTGAATCTCATATTGCTGAGTATGTTAGATTGATGGAAATGTATTCACTTTATTCCCATTTGTGTTTGGTTAAGATTAAGGGAATGTGACATTAATTTATTTGGTTAAAAAATACTAGTATCTTATATCACAGATATGGTGAATTACTTCAATGCCCTTTAAATCTATTACAACCTACGTTTAAATAGCAATCTAAATATATTTATTATCACCTTAAAAAATTAAATTTAAAAATGTTCAAGTTATTCGTAAAACTTATTTTCAAATTAAAGAAAAAATGATCAATTTTGCCATTAAATTTTGAAATCCACTCATTAAAAACTTAAATAATCTATAAGCATAAATACCTTTAAAAATTTAAATGTTAAGGAAAAAAGAATTATGAAAAGTAACAAGAATAGACATTCGAATATAATTAAATAAAAAGAATAGACATTCAAATCTATAAGCATATTAACCGTAGTTATATTTTTATATATAACTCATATTTTAGTAATATTTAAGGAAAACTCCCTCCCTAAAATTAACTGATCCCTGTCAATAATAAGATTGGTTTTAGTAAATAAAAGTTACACATTTAGAAACTACATTAAAAGTTTTATAAAATCACAAAAATTCAAATTTGATATAAGTTGAATACATAGAGAAATTAAATGAAAAGCGATAATTAATTGATGGTATTTTCGGAAGAAAATTAGATCATCCCCGGGAATGTCAGATAACCTAAGGCATGGAATGGTATAACATTCTCCTCCATATTACATTCCCGGGAATGTAACTTTCCCGATCTTTTCTCAAGACCGTAAATGTAACACCCCGGCCCTGTAGGTCCCGAGGTAGTTACTCCAAACCTCTAGTACTGTCCTCACAAACCGCCACTAGCCTTTTCCGCGCACTTTGTCCTCACTCGTGCGCGCCCTGAGAAACTTCCCAGGGGGTCACCCATCCCAAAACTACTCCCGTGCAAGCACGCTTAAATTTGGAGTTCTTGGGTGATGAGCTCCCTTAAAAGGAGATGCACCTCTGTTGGTATGAGTAGTACTATTAATCCGTTTAAATTAAATCTCAAGTATTACAATCACCCCCACTTAGGAACGCAACGTCCTCGTTGCGCCCATAAACCAATCTCAATCATATCCCAGAATCTCTTCCACTGCTAAGTGCCCGCCCGATATCCAACGGATCAACACACTGTCGCAGGGTTGCTCTGATACCATTTGTAACACCTCGGCCCTGTAGGTCCCGTGGTAGTTACTCCAAACCTCTAGTACTGTCCTCACAAACCGCCACTAGCTTTTTCCGCGCACTTTGTCCTCACTCGTGCGCGCCCTGAGAAACTTCCCAGGGGGTCACCCATCCCAAGACTACTCCCGTGCAAGCACGCTTAACTTTGGAGTTCTTGGGTGATGAGCTCCCTTAAAAGGAGATGCACCTCTATTGGTATGAGTAGTACTATTAATCCGTTTAAATTAAATCTCAAGTATTACAGTAAACCAAACATGAGTATCTAACATTCCAGGTATCACATTCCGGCCTCAATGTGAGATAACCCCAAACCAAACATACTCATATTGTTATTCATAAATTTTACCTATGTACTACAAGAACAATTTTGTTCACCCCTCAAAAGAGGGTGAACGTCACCCCACCCTATTGGCTGCCATATGACTTGTCAATTCTTTTAAATCTTGTAATTGTTATAATTTTATTTAATTTTTGGTTAAATGTTTTCAAAATATGTATCAATATTTTTAATTTTTTATGATATTTCATGTGGTACCAATATTGTATATTTAAAATTTTAAAAAAAATCCGGCTTAAAATAGTTTTAAGAAAAAAAGTTTTTTTATTTAATTTGTTTATATACAATATGGATACCATTGTAAGAATAATAAAAAGTTATTACATTTGATATATTTTTGGGAAAATTGAATTATATATTAAAAAGTTATACTTCTACTAATTTTTAGAAAAAAATAATTGTGACCCCAAATGAACACAATTGGACTCTATGTACGGAGTAATATTTAAAAAAACTTCTTAATTAATTGACAACAAGTAAATATTACAAAAAATTGAAAGTGTAGTTTGACAAAATCTGCTTCCATATAATTATATCTCTTATACATATAAAAGGGGAGCGGGGTCAATATGGTGTGTTTTTCCATAAAAACTATGAATTAAATATGAGAAAATCGTCAAAATGGGAGTAAAACAGGAGGTAATCGCAAAACTGGGACTCATTGTTTTAAATTCTCTAAATAGGAGTAAATATTTGCATTTGGACGGAAATAGCCTCCTGTGCCGTAACATTGCGCAATCGTTGTCATCTTCTACAATTCATCACAAACATCTCTTCCTCCCATGGATCTGAGCTCGTCATCGACTCTGGCCTCCCATCGCATAGGTAATCAGGTAAGTCCTCTGCCTCTTCCTCTTCCTCTTCTTCTTCTTCTTCAAATTTCTGGTCTTCTTATTTTTTGCTTCTTCTTCTCCTTCTTCTTCTTCTTCATCTTCTAATCCTCTTCAATTTTCTGGTCCCCTATTCTCTTCTTCTTTTTCTTCTTTGGATTTGAATTTTATTTACTAATTTGGATTTTTTGGATTTGGATTTTACTTCATAAGCAAAATGTCACTTTTATAATCTGAGAATGTCAAAAGTATTACTAGTATTTGAAAAAAGTGTCATGTTTGTAGCAGTACATTTATCAGGATGACAATCTGAAAATGACATATGTTCATAAGATAATGTCATTATCTTGTCATTTATTCATATCAAGTGGCATTCTCATCGGAGGCTGCACAGACTTGAATGACATAAAAGTGTCATTTTTTAAAAAATAACCAGTAAATATGACATTTTTGATTAAAAAGTGACACATTCTTCAGAATCATTACTCAGGGCATTTTGAGATTGAAATATATCAAAATTGATAAGAAGAAATTCTAGTTAAGTATATCTTCATTGGAAACTTTCACATTCATGCAATATTTTTTCAAATTTGATTGATAATTTTTTTAAAAAAGAAAGCAGAGAATCAGGAACAAGGCTACTAGAAGAAGATGAAGATCAGAAGAATTAGAAGAAGAAAAAGAAGAAGAGGGGGAAGAAAAGAAAGAAGAGTACCTGGGAAAGCAGAGAGCAGATGACTACGATGACTGCCGATAAAGCCGTTGATGATGGAGATTGAAGGTGCGATCGGCCAAAGGGAAAGTGGCAGGGGAGAAGTCTGGCGGTTGATGGAGAGTCGATCGATTATTTTTAGAAGAAGGGTAATAAGGTAATCTGGAGTCCTATTTGTGAAATATAAAACTTGTAGTCCTACTTTGGAGTTTTAACCATGTTTTAGTCCTATTTAGGATAAAAACTTATTAAATATTAATGATAAACATATGACTTCAATAAAAAATACTACATCCGTCCCGGAATTATCTTCATTCTTTCCTTTTCGATCCGTCCCAAATTTAATTCCTTTTTTCTTTTTTGGCAAAGAATTTGTGGTTCACAACCATTCTTACACATTTCTCTTTCCTCTGCACAACTCTTCACCACACATTTCTCACTATCTTAAAACTCGTGCCCAGTCAAGTAAGGAGATAATTCCAGGACAGAGGTAGTAATAACCAGCACTGTAGTAGACACAAATTGATAGTAGCTTTAGTAATCATGATTATATTCAATTGTACATTGGTCAGCTGGGTGTTGTCACTCATGTGTGCCGATGGCTGTTCACTAACAACCCACCTCCTCCCAAATGATGGGAAGCTATATTTTTCTTCGCATATGTGGGTGAGCCACTCCGCTTCCCGGGCGGGTGGAATGCTTTTCCCGTTCGCGATGAGGAGACGTAATTGAAGGAGGTCCTCAATTCGCATGTATTGAGCCTCCACATGGATGCGGTAAAGAACCTTCGTTCCTTTGTGGCCACATCCTCCCTGATGGCAGCCGGGATGAGTAAGGGTTCTCTTGCCTGGGGATCCTTATTCAGTATGCCTTGGGTTTCTCTAACCCTTCTATTTTCTCTATATTTGCAGGTGTAATCCCTCACGCTCCGATAGATCCCGTCCTCAAACTCCCAATTATCCCTTATCAAGGAGATAAGGGAAAAAGGGAAGATCATCGTGGAGAGCGGACGACTTGTCCAACAGTCCATTTCCTTTGTTCATTCGGAGGCCAACATTTCCCAGAAATGGTCGCACCTTGAAAAGATGGCTCGTTCGACATAGGTGGTGACCTCATAGCCGAAAATTCTTAGCCAGTTGATGCTCACCCGCCTCCATGCAAGCCCAGTATGGTTCCATCCGCCTCCGAAGCTGAACAGTCAGAGAAGATGATTGTTGAGTTTTCCAGGTTGGGGCTTCGATCCGATAGTCGGTTCTTGTTCGGCCACATACCCTCGTCCTTGTGGTGTACGCTTGAACTGAAGCCTCCCCCCGAGCTTAATCGAACTTGAGCGGTGGGACGAAATTGTTGAGGGCGGCCTCTTTGAGTTGTCCAAAGCACGGTTTTCTGAGTTCATTCCCATGATTAGAGTTCATCCCCTTGTCTTTCAATATTGTTCCAATCTGATTAGT